TTTGTCTCCATTTCATTATGTCGAGAATTACATCTGTCATTGACTGCTTTTTTTTCTGTTTCCATTTCTTCTGGGATAATCTACATGAAATATGTAATACCTGCGAAATGATGAACGATACCTATCTTCATTGCACTACTAAATTAAAAAAAAAGGTGTGAATAAATACTAACTCCGTCGAACAATCACCTTGATAACACACATAGTGAAACGAATAATTAGGATCTGAATGAATAGAACATGTAACACAATTAATCCAAATCAGAACAATGGTGTGTAATTGAATGACAAAGTGGGAAAAATATCCTGTGTAATACATTTTACCATGATATATATATTATATATATATATATATATATATATATATATATATATATATATCATATATTTATATATATCATATCATATCATCATATATGATATGATATGATATGATATGATATATATGATATGATATATATCCTGTGTAATACATTTCACCATGATATATATATATATATATATCATGATATATATATATATATATATATATATATATATATATATATATATATATATATATATATATATATATATATATATATATATATATATATATATCATATATTTCTGCATATAAGACAAACTTTAAGTCCCTAAAGTCACCTTAAAAATTGGGTGTCTTTTTATACTGCAATATTAAAAAAGAAACCTTAAATTCTGAACAATGTAGGCTAACCTCAGCCTCAGTGTGATAACCAATAATGTGCATGAAAAGATTCACATTATCAAATTAACTGATAATAAAAGTAATAAAACCATTTCTACCTTATATATTACTAGCATAACTTCATAATAAAATGCCTATTTGAAGAATAATTCCTTATCGTTGAAATCAATTTTTATCCATGCAAGCTCAGCTAAGAAAATGTAAACATCGTGTTATGGTTGTGTTAACAGCAACCGTTATCTTTTGCTAAGCTTTCAATAATCATCATGGTAATATTAAGGCAGTAATAACATTTAGGATAACGTAATATTCATTTATCATTAAAAATTCATTATCATTTTGGTGTTAAATGATAACACAATTTAGGATTACATGCAACCTTTATTTGTGATTGCCAATGAAGTATAAGTAAATGGCCATTAGTATACCAGGCTGTTTGTAACTGTTTAGATATAGGAAAAAAAGAGGAGGAAGAAGAAGAAGAATCGGTATTTGCGAGAGATCATATGATGAAACGTAAGCAAAACAATGGTTTCGCTTTTAGGGAAAGTGTGTAGGAAAAATATGCTATAAAATCGGTTTTGCTGTTTTGTTTGTTTTGAATTTCTAAGGATACAGTAAGTAACAACAGTTCCAATAATATCATCTTTATATAATCAATAAGCAGTCATCTTATACTACAGGTATAGGATAAATTCATGAAAAGTTGCTATATTTTTTTACCTTGTTTTATCTAAAGGTCGCTTTATATGTGGAAATATATGGTATATACATACACAAACATATATATATATTAAGACATTTTTTATGTTTATACGTTCTTTTTATAGATACAAATATTTAAGTAAATGCTCTGCTTATAATAAACAGTATTAACATTTACCAGTCTGAATGTCTGAGAAATTTTCGTAGAAAATATGCGTCCTCCACACAGGAATCGAACCCGTATCCTATACGGAAACGTCATATAGCATGACGTGCCTCAACCGATTGGGCCACCGAGAAGCGTTTCGGTTAGCAAGGTCGATTTTGTTTTTTATTGTTCTTTTTCATTAATAGATTTTTTCTCATATTCTCTCACACACAGTAACAACTTGCGTCTTAGTGGATTCATTACCTTTCTTACATTGAAATTATTGAAAAAAAAAAAGAACATTATATAAACGTATGGTAGACGTGTTGAGTAGATTTTCCTGACTTTTTTTTCTTAAAAATATTCAGGAAAAATATCTACTTACCTGAGAAATCGAAAATCTTTTCTTTATTTATGTGGTTTTTTTTTTTTGGTTTTTTTTTAAAAAAAGCGGGTCGGATTTTGATAGAGAGGTACATTTTCTTTAAAAAAAAGTTTTAATTTCCCATTACCAGATATAGACTTCGAAATGTCACAACGAGAGATGTGTATTTCTCAAATAGGTATATTCAAAATGGCACGTGGAACTTGAACAGTCTATCCCAGTGAGCGAAATAAAGGGTTCAGTCCGACATTCCAACCACCTGAAGAAGGCCGGAGCGTACAGCGGCCGAAACTTTGTAATAAATATGGCGACAAAGATGAAGACAATAGTCCAAATAATTTAAATAGTGTACATAATACCTCATCTCAGAAATATAGACAGATACTGAAGGGCCGAAACTTTGTAATAAATATGGCGACAAAGATGAGGACAATAGTCTGAATAATGTAAATAGTGTACATAATACCTCATCTCAGAAATATAGACAGATACTGAAGGGCCGAAACTTTGTAATAAATATGGCGACAAAAGATGAGGACAATAGTCCAAAAATAATGTATAAATAGAAATATATGCTGAAGGGCCGGGAAACTTTGTAATAAATAATATCCAAATAATCTCAGAAATATAGACAGATATTGAAGGGCCGAAACTTTGTAATAAATATGGCGACAAAGATGAGGCTAATAGTCCGAATAACGTAAATAGTGTTCTCAAATAGGGTAACTGAAATTTTCTTTGCTGTAATGGGTTAAGATTAAAGGGAATATAGCTTCCATTCCTCTCGAGGGGCAGATTTTCTTTCATGAGACTTTCGATCTTTAGGCCGATAGATGTCAATATCACTGTTTAAAAAAAAATAGACGTCTACTTAAAAATGTGCATCCACTACATAAAAAAAGTTTATAGTCATAAGAATTGAATATACTTGTGCTATGTTTCTTTTTAAAAAAAATATTTTTTTTCTTTTCTTTTCATTTATTTTTCTAAAAGTATTCCCTAAGTCTCATTGTGACTTATGACACATTTAATTTGGGTATTGTATATATATATATATATATATATATATATATATATATATATATATATATATATATATATATATACTGTATGTCCACACGTATAGAAATATATATATAATATTAGGGCCGTTGGTGTCTGCTGGATTTTTAAATCAGTCCACTTCGAGTAGATCATTGACTTTTTTTACAGGGGATTATTTTGGCATAATGCATTGTATTACTATTGCTTTTTTGCGATTATCGTCCCAATTTGGACGAGATGTAACACAAGGTCTATTTTAGGTGAGGACCTGAGCGCGTACGATTAAGGGACAGGAACAAAATTCCCTTCAAACCTGACACTGTCGTTTGCAATAGCCACTCGGTGCGAGCACCGATCCCACCCTGTGGTGCAATGGGAGGGCACGGCCTTAAGGCAGCTGTTCTAAAGGGTGGCAAATCTTCAGTATTATTTTCTTCAGTTGCCTCTCAATCCTTTGACAGAGAATCCCCTGAGCGCACTCTGCCTAAAGACAGAGACGTAACTGAGAGATAAGTAAACGTGAACTTACTCAAAAAGAGTAGATATTTACTCACCACCCCCACGAGGTCAGGTTGTGACACAAGGTCAGTTTCAATGGGGGGAGCCCGAGCGCGTGCACCCGGGCAAGGTTAAAAAAGACCCTGAACCCCGCAACTGTTGGTTGCGCTGGCCCTCGGTGCGAGCACCGATCCTCTCTGTGGTGCAATAGGAGGGCGCGGCCTCGTGCAGCTGTTCCCCAGGGCTGGGTTTCTTCAGTATTATTTTCCTAGTTGCCCCTCTGTCCTTTGACAGAGAAGCCTCTGAGCGCACTCTGTCCAAAGACAGAGACGCAACTGAGAGATGATAAGTAAACGTGAACTTACTCAAAAAGAGTAAGTTACGAGCTAATTTGGGAATCGCTGTTGTAGACTTAGCAAAGAATAGTGAATAATTACAACGGATACAAGGTGACATCCCAAAGTTCAGTATATTTGAACGATGCACGAAGAAAAATATAGTACGGACTTCTGTCGTTAATCTTTAAATCACACCCTACCACTGAGTTTTAACGTATATCTACAAGTGTGAGGCACTCAGTGCGGGTCAAACTCAATATAATAGGAAAGGAGAGAAAGAACACTGAACTGTTACGTGACATCAGTCCTTCTTTACGGCAGCGAATGTTGGACGATCTCCTCAAAGAAGAAGAAAAGACTCGAGGCGACGGAGATGTGGTTCTACGGAAGGATGCTAAGGATATCATGGACCGAGCGTGTGAGCAACGATGAGGTCTTAGAGAAGTTGCAAAAAAGGAGGGGGCTTATGCTAAACATCAGAAAGAGGCATTTGAAGTTTCTGGGACACATAGTGAGGAAGGAGGGCCTGTAGAATCTGACACTCACGGGTCAAATAGAAGGAAAGAGAGACAAGGGAAAACAACGCATGACATACCTGGCGGACGTAAGTGGATGATGGAACGTGGTCTGGGGGAGGAAGCAGAGGGAAAGAACTTGTTGAGATCTGTAAGGGATAGAAGGAGGTGGAGAGCCATGATCGCCTACGTCCTGAAGGGACATGGCACATAACAAGAAAAAGAAATTTTTACAGCGTCTGCTAAAACAGAAATAATTAATTCTTTTTTTCTTTTTTTTTTTCCTCAAGCTTTCTTTTTCTATTTTATGCCGATTTTTGATTGGCCAGGCGTGTTAGTGATGTAATTCAGATTACAACGTGGCATCTTTTGATTAGCAGAGCGTAGCGAGAAACTCCGATAATTAACGCTGTTGTCAGTATAATTGCTCGGGCGTGCCATTAATTTAGGTCACAATTTGTGTCTTTGGTTTTTTTACCTCCAATTTTTTTTACCTCCATTTTTTTTTTTTTTTTTTGTCTTTGATTCTTGAAGGGTAACCACTGACTTGATTCATTCACCCTAACAAGAGACTGTAAAGAAGGAAAAAAAAAGGTAGCATCTAACATTTACCCTGGCCCACTTCACCTTTTTGGTGCGGGAGGTTCTGGGGTATGCCTTATGAAAAAAAAAGAAAAGAAAAGAGAACAACACGTGCGAGAAAGGGGGAAAGAAATATGTTGGCTTTCGTGGGGCGCTGAATGAGTAGCAACGACTTCAGCTTCATTGATAGATTTATCTAGGATAACGACTCCGGGGCAATCTGTTTGATCTCATTGCCCTAAACATATCAATGAAATACTACCGCTCGGAAAGTTTGCTTCTCAACGGGACGCTAACAGATTTAAAAGACGTTGAATGACCAGAAAAGAAACATAAGGAGAACAAACGATAAAATGTAAAAAAAAAAAAATATCACTGATTTTAAAAGAGAACCTCGGAAAAGAATACATCTGGTATCTTTATCCTCTATACTAATATCCCAAAATCTGGGCCAAGAGAAATATGCGCGCACACACACACACACACACACACACACACACACACACACACACACACACACATCACAAAGTAGAAAAAGTTTTCTTACGACGCGTTTCGTTCTTTAGGACTCCATCGGACTAAATTTATACTCATTCATGCGCATGTGTAGTCGCATGTTGGTGCGACTACACATGCGCACGAACACGAATAAATTTAGTCCGATGTAAGTCTTAAAGGATGAAACGCATCTCAATAAAACTTTTTACAACTTGTCACACATTTTTCTTCAGTATTGAAACTTGATATATAAAAATATATATCATTATCTCATATATAGATATATATATATATATGTGTGTGTGTGTGTGTGTAAACCCCACACAACTTAAGAAGTACGTGTGTATGTATGTACGTATATGTGTGTATATGTGTGTGTGTATGTGTATACTGGTTCCATGTAACTTGGGAAGTATGTGTGTGTATGTATGTGTGTGTGTGTATGTATGTGTGTGTATGTACTGATTCCTTGTGGTGGGACGGTGTGTATGTGCGTATGTGTATGTATGCGTATATGTGTACAAATGAGTTTACTAATTCCTCGTAGTAAGACAGTATATGTATAAAGACATTGGGATTACTAACACAAAAACAGAGAATGTCTCATATCGAGAATATTTAATATTGAAAAACATAAGGAAAAAATTAATTATTTTTAATAATATGTGGAAATTTCGCTTCTACCTGAAGACGGTCGCGAGACCAGAAACCCGTGTAGTAAAATTATGGAAAATAAAGCATAATATATTTTTTTTTAAATCCACATTACAACCAAAAACGTTTGCGGCACCTCTCTTCTTTTTAATATACATACTTTTCTCTCGTTGGAACCACTACAACATCTATATATATATATATATATATATATATATATATATATATATATATATATATATGCATATGTCCATACGTGTAGAATATAAAAAAATATATATATCATTATCTCAGATATATATATATATATATATATATATATATATATATATATATGTGTGTGTGTGTGTGTGTGTGTGTGTGTGTGTAATGTGTGTTAACTAGAGACTCGTTTCGAAAAACCCTCGAATTTTTTGATTTGCTAATGATCAAATTAATCTCGAGGGAAAAAAAGGTTTAAAAAAAAGAAAAAGCTACAAACATGAACTTCTGCTGACAAAAAAATCGCACAGATGCAGGTCTGAAGCCCAATGAAAAACAACCCGATACGTGTAAACAACTAACAAAAGCGCTCAATACAACCGTAGTATCTATCTATCTATATATATATATATATATATATATATATATGCGTATGTCCACACGTGTAGAATATATATAATATTAGAGCCGTTGGTGTCTGTTGGATTTTAAACAAGTCCACTTCGAGTAGATCACTGCTTTTTTTTTTTTTTCACTATTAGCTGGCATACCGCATTGTATTACTATTGCTTTTGCGATTATTGGTGATATTATGTAAGATCCTGGTCTTAGATTTATCATTAAAATTTCAACTTATTTTCCTTACACAGTTTTCTCTTGCATTCTGACCTGAAGAAGCCGAACCCAACACAACACGTCGGCGAAACGTGTCGTTTAAAAGCTTTTCCCCTTTGCCTCATTCATGAAAGGGGTGTAAGACAAGGATGTGACTTCTCACCGGACTTATTTAACATATATTACGAGGCGATTCAGAGAGAATTAGAAGTCCTACCAGGATTCATTATTGGCGGCCACAATCTTAACAATATAAGATATGCAGATGACACTGTGTTAATAGCAAACACGGAAATAAAACTACAAAAATCTCTACAGAAGGCAGTGAAGGAAAGCGTGAAGAAAGGACTAAGCATCAACAGTAAGAAGACAAAATGCATGGTTGTTAGCAAAAAAGATGAGCCCAAAGTGCGGATTGCAAATCAGAGATACCAAAATAGCATAGCGTGGAAATGTAAATATCTGAGAAGTGTTTTAACTCCTTCCCCGGCATAGACATGCATATACGTTTTTACCAAAAGTGTCTTTTTCAGACAGGACGAATGAACACGTCCTAAACATAACGTTCAAAAACCAGCTACAGACTTCTTTATAAGTCAATCTTGATTCTCCAAAGAACAATAAGCCTGATGAGCCACATGACAAAACTCATCATCCGAACTCTGATGAATAGAGCGCGATAGGACAAGATCAGTGCGGGTTTGGTAAAGACACCGAAACAAGGAATGCAATATTTATGTTCAAAATGCTATTAGAAAGGGCAACACAAATGCAGAAGGACGTGTACCAGTGATTTATAGACGACGCAAAGGCGTTCGACAAAGTATGCCACAAAGATCTGCTGATGAGGTTTCTGTATAGGATACAGGTTCGATTCCTGTCAGAGGACGCATAATTTCTATGAAAATTTCTCGGACATTCAGGCCGGTATGTGTTGTTAATACTGTTTATTATAAACAGAGAATTTACTTAAATATTTGTATCTACAAAAAGAACGTATAAACAGAGCATTTACTTAAATATTTGTCGGACTTATCCATTTTAATACACACACACACACACACACACACACACACATACACACTCACATATATATATATATATATATATATATATATATATATATATATATATATATATATATATAATAAGAAATATACATAATATCTTACATTAATTGCACACACAGGCACACACCCACACACACACACACACACACACACACACACACACATATATATATATATATATATATATATAATGGACTCTCCTGTCGGTTTCGACGTATGAGGATCTGCCAGCTTATTGATTCAGTTATGAAAGTTTATGCGTTAAGTGGCATTTAAGACCCGCTAGTGATTTACAAAGGAGGTCACATATGGAGCAAGTGTGAGGATTGTGAGATGAGATCACTGTTAGATTGGTTGACCTTTTAGATCTTGCTCTCGCTTCTTGAAGATGATTCAGACAAGCAGATTGAAAATTGTTGAGTCCACTAAAACACATTGATCTCCATTCTACCCGCTCTAAGGCTAAGCGCTCAAGGGTGTTATGTGGTATATTGACTGCTGACAAGTTGCTTTTCAGCTTGTCTTTGTATCTTAGTCATGGGCGTCCTACATTTCTGTAGCCCTGATCTAACTGGCTGTAGATTAGGATCTTGGGTATCCTGTCATCAGACATTCTCAAGACAAGACCAGTCCACCGTAACTGAGACTGTTTGATAAAAGTCTCGATTCCTCCAATATTACACCTGTTAAACAGGTCTACGTTAGATGTCCTTGAAGCTTAACTCCACAGATTGCACGCAGACAGCTTTTATGGAAAACATCTAGCTGGCGTATATGGTACTTGTATGGAGTCCACGACTCTGAGCCATACAAAAGGATGGCAAGTACAACAGCTCTGTAAACCCGAATTTTCGTATCCAGTCGAATACCCCACTCATTCCACAAATGATGGCGAATATATATATATATATATATATATATATATATATATATACACGAAGAAACATTTATTAATTTGTAGCTTAATGATTAATTTTTCTTAGACGACAAATATGTATTTTTCATTTAATTTAGTAGTGAGTATTAATAGCATAAACTGAATATTATACAGCGAAATATTATACAGTGAATATTATACAATGAAATTTTCAGATCAAACCTCGCTATGGATTTTTTTTTAACTGTTTGCATTTGTCGTGTGCATTTGATGTTGAATGATGTGAAAATAAAATTATGATGCATATTACGCGCCTTTTACTGGATTTTTCTCCTTTTTTTAGGGAGGAAAGGATTATTGCGCGAGAGAGAGCTTTTTTTTTTATTTCCCTTCGGCATTGTGTATTTATATATATGCGTGGGCAATTATGCGGGTGACCTTTTGGGGGTCTGCATGTGCGCTTACACAGATGTGTGCTAGAGACACCAAAAATCTTTTTCTTCCCTCAACACTTAACACGTGATACAGAGACTAAATCCTTCTTTCTAACAGACTTACAGTTGAATGCTTTTTTCCCCATTGTATGCATAAGGAAGGTTTTTTATGCATAAGTTTAAATACCAAGAAAAAATCTACGTCAGTAAGATTCCTGCATCAATGAAAATTGACATCTACTCAGATTAATCTCGTCTGACACAGCCTAGAGAAGGAAAGAAGATTATGTTGCGCCAGTGTTGCAAGCGAAAAACAGCCTACCTCGTTTGCAAAATCGCCATTCAAGATGTCGGAATTTAAATTAATATCTTTTTTTTAATCATTTCAAGCAAGGCAATAAAGCTACTATGACACAGGATCGTTACGGTGTGCGAATGAATAAGAAAAAAATAAACAATTATTATGGAGATAGGCAAAAAAAAAAGAAAGAAAAAAGAAGCGGAATCAAGAAGACAGTAATCCCAAGTACTTTCGATCTTTTTCCAAGATCATCTTCAGGGGTGCAAATGGTACAAAAGTGGTACTTGGGAAATGAAAATAAAAGAAATTTAAACAGCTATAGCACATTTCTCTCGTCCTTTAGTATCAATACACGAAATGTTATTCGTGAGTATGAACGGATCTTGTTAAAAATCAGTATACATAATGCCTTTAATTTATTCAATCAGAAATGACTAAAAGAATTTGCTGCCTAAGTACATATATATATATATATATATATATATATATATATATATATGTGAAAAGTGTGTGTATATAAATATAAATAAATATATATATGTATAA